CAATCGATCTCAAGTCACGCTACCACCACGTCGATATCCACCCGTCGTGCTGGAAGTTTTTGGGCTTTCAACTGGGTGGAAAGTTTTATTGCTTCACATCCTTACCTTTCGGCCTGGCAACGACCCCGTTCGTCTTCACCCAGCTTATTAAGCAACTAGCCAAGAGATGGCGCGCGCGCGGAGTGCGCGTAATACCATACGTGGACGATCTACTATTCCTCTGCGACTCTGAGGTGCAAGCCCGTTCGACGTGCATCGAAGTTCTCCACGACCTGAAGGCGGCAGGATTCGTGATAAATTCTAAAAAATCACACCTGCATCCCGCACACCACTTGCGCTTTTTGGGGATGGAGCTTGACACGGAACGAGGGATGTTTTCGTCGGAAAAGATCGGCGCGAACAACTACTGCATGAGCTCCACCTACTTATACAAAAAGGGCAATCGGGTCGCCACGTGCCGATTCACAAGTTAGCCCGGATCACTGGATTTCTCAGCTCCATGTCGCTCGCGTTGGGCACGACGGCGCGTGCCTTCAGCCATGAGCTGCTGCACTTGATCGACTCCGCGTGGTCATGGAACTCAAAGGTTCTATTGTCACCAGGAGCGACAGAAGAGCTGTTGCTTTGGACAATGCACTTCGATCGTTTCAATGGCGCCCCATTCCACCAGAGTCAGCGTTTTGATGCCGTGATACACGTCGACGCAAGCGCACACAGCTGGGGTGCCACCTTGGCCAAGTTCCCAAGTACATCATGCGAAGCAAGCGAGTGCATGCCACGAGGGCTTCTCACCACATCCAGTACGCGGCGAGAGCTCGAGGGAGTGCTCTGGGCACTGCGGACGTTCGCGACTCGGATCGTGGGTGCTCACGTCCTCGTCCGCGTGGACAACCAGGCAGTCATGTTTATCTTGCGCAAGGGGGGATCCCGTCAGGCGGATCTTACGTTGACATGCCAAGCGATCATCCAGTTCTGCCTCGGCAACACAACACGCCTCGCGATCGAATGGATTCCGAGAGAGCTCAACGTCCATGCGGATGACCTATCCAAGATGCAAGATTTCGATGACTACTCCCTACACGCACCTTGGTTTCGCCTCTTGGAACGCCGCTGGGGGCCCCACACAATTGATCTCTTTGCTAACGTTCGGAACAATCACGTTCAGCGCTTCTGCTCTAAGATACCGCACCCGGACGCGTTCGCTGTCGACGCATTTTCCATCTCGTGGAAAGGCGAGCGATGCTTTGCCTTCCCGCCTCCACACTTAATTCCCGCTACACTCCGCCATGCGGAACTGACGCAGACAGAACTCACGCTCGTCGTTCCTCAGTGGACCGGAGCGTCATGGTGGCCGCTTCTCCAACCGTCCACTCAATCGTGGGCTCCGGCAGTAGTAGAGCACCTTTCCCTTGCCCAAGGCAGTCAATGCCTTCGGGCAGGTTCACACACCACTGCATTCTCTGGTCTCGGATTGCCTCATAGCCCAATCATTGCTTTGCGTGTAAACTATGCAGTCTAATCAAAATTTCTCAATGTGTCATGTCAGGACTTTTGGCCAAACTACAGCAACAATTGATGCACGTAATTAGCCACGTTCGCGCACCATCTACAATCGAGACGTACCAACCTTATTGGCAGAGATTTCGCACCTTCTGTACCCAAGTTAAGCTCGAGTTCCAGCCGGCAACCGACCTGACGCTAGCGCTGTATCTCATCCATGCGCTCAACAACAAAGCAACTCTCTCCGCGATCAACCTCACGTGTTCGGCAGTTGCCTTCGCCCACCGCATGACCGGTGAAACCTCCCCTACCGCCGGCCCATTCACCCTGCAAGTGCGGGAGTTCGCCAAGAGACATGGTCCCCGGCCTACAAGGACCAAAGAGCCCATATCTCTCCATCAAGTGCACAACATGGCTCGTCCCTTCCTGGAATCATCAATTCCTGCGGAAAACCAGAAAGGATTGATTCCTCTTCTCATGTTTTCGGCATTCTTGCGCTACTCCGACCTCGTCTCGCTCCAATGGAATGATGTACAGTTCGAGGAGAAGGCTATGTGGCTGCTCATCCCGCACTCCAAAACGGACCAGGAAGGGAGGGGTGTCTGGATCCCAGTGGCGACAATTCCAGGCCCATACTGCCCGGTGAGGTGCACACACAAATTCATACACATCGCAGGCCTCACAAAGGTGCCACATGGACCGCTGATAAGGGTTTTCCCGAAGAACTCGCAAGCCACACCTCACGACAAATCGCCATCCTACGTTACGATCAGAAACTGGTGCCTCGAGGCCGACAGGCAAGCTGGACTGGATGTCGCGCACATCGGAACCCACTCATTCCGCAAAGGCGCAGCTACTGCGGCGGCAAGCCTCGGAGTTCCTGACCGGCTCTTCAAACGCATGGGCCGATGGCGCAGCGACAGCGCGAAGAAGATGTACGTTACAATCGCGCAAGATCAGCTCATCTCCCTCTCCACGAAGTTGCAGGATCCTTCGACGGCTCCCTCACCCGCTACGCATCAGCAATCAATCGAACGGCACCGCCAGCCCCGACTGCACTTGCCTCAGAAGACCCATATGAAATGATAACGCTGCCTTTGCCAGTCAGCCTAAGTACACTTTCACAATATGATAATTTTTGAAAGTGTAATGAAATGTAACACTTTCTAAAATTTTGTATTGTGAAAAGGGGTACGTGGCCAACACAGCAAAGGTAGCGCCGAAGCGCTACTCACCCTCTTTTGCCTACAAAAGAGGGACGTGGGGACATTCGTCCCCACCCACGTTTTCATTTTCAAAATTGTAGTTTTACTTTCCCACCCGCCCACCCATTTGTGTATGCTGTTATGTAGACATATATAAGACGAGAACGATGTACTACTACCCAGATGAAATGATAACGCTGCCTTTGCCCCATATGAAATGATAACGCTGCCTTTGCCCGTCAGCCTAAGTACACTTTCACAATGCGGTAAAAGTGCTCGATCGGGGGAATATCACACCGGCCACCGCACTGAAATCCCCCTTGTTGCGTACGAAAAGTACACGACATCAAACAACCGCGCTAGAAAACGATCCTTCACTTTTACCGCGTCCTCAGGTGTTTTTCTTTCGTACCGTCATGCCCCGGATATACCCCCAGGCGGGGGTATAAAAAAAACATGGAAAAATGGTGGGTGGGCTTATAATGTGGATTTTTTTTATAACCCCATGAAGGAAATTAATGACACTTGGAGAATTATGATTTTAAAGCACAGAAATGTATATCTCAGCCTTCCTGTTTCAATCGAGACTACCACAAAACAGTTCGCTTCGAAATTCACGAGAATCTGCCACCCTGGCGAAAATCCCTGGCATCATGTGCTGAAATATTGCTAATAACACGTGCACGCTTGTGGCAATTTCGTCAGGGGGCCAGGGAAGACTTCGCCAGGCACGTCAGCGACGATAACTACTGACGCGTTAGTGGCGAATTCACTAGAAAAATACAGATTTTAGTAAAATTTCTTAGTGTGCGCTTATACGAAGATGATCCAAATTTAGGGTGGGGTTATAATCGGCACCCGGCTATAAGCCCACCGGTACGATTATAAGTGCATGGGTGTAACATAGGCCTGGGGGTATATCCGGGGCATGACAGTACCGTATGTTCGTTCTTGTGGAGGCCACGTGATTTCAGCGTGAAACTTTGCATGGCTGAGCTGTCAGTAGGCCCATGTGAAAATTTCTCTCATGACTGGTAAGATTGATTCACTACACACACAGCCTTACAAGAACTAAATGGGTGGAAAGTGGGTCAAAAGTAATTTGCTTCAACATTTATTGACATCAGACAATTTCAAAAAGCATTTGCCCAGAAACGAACACTGGGAGGACGAAACATGTGGATAATGTGGATTGGGAACAGTAAATGTGCAGTGGCGATGGAACATCCATAAGTATATACATGGATGGAATGTGCGCGTACGTACCAGATTCAGGCATACGCGTCAGGTACAGACTCACGTGCATAATTCACATCACATACGGTGGTCAAACAAATGGTACAGTCAACACAATAGACAAAGTTAAATACAAAACAGACTAAGGTATGGTAACACACATCAGACGAATGCACAGTACACACACAAAGAGAAAGGTACACACACAAAGACACGAATGTACTCCAATGACAACCACATGCTGTACATACTCCATCAATACCCATAAACGAGGATGCTTATGCATGGAAAGCTACAAGGATGACACCCAAGGGTGCAGCGGGGATAGGCAGATTGAGAAGCAAAATCAACCAATATGGGAATGGGGAAGAGAGGGAGACATGGTGGGGAGAAGGAATGGAAGGATGAGGGAAAGAAGCACAAAAGGCGAGGAAGGGGGATGGAAGATAGGCGGAAGGGAGGAGAGGAAAGGGAGGAGGGCTCAAGGAGGGAAAATCGGGGAGGAGGGAGTAGGAAGGCGGGCTAAAGGAGAAAGGCGGTCACGAAACTATTGGGCTCCCAACGACAATCCCAAGGTGCAGGGTCGGTCATCACAGGGGTTAGGGAGAGAAGGAAAAGGATAAGTGAAAGGGAGGGAAGTGGAAGGGGGATGAGGGAGTGTGGATAGAACAAAGGTGGGAGAACCACCATAGTTCCATCCACACTCCCTCACCCCCCCACCACACAATTCCTCTTCTCTTCCTTCCTCACTCTCTTCCGTAAACCCTTGGATGCGCCAAAACCCTGTACCCGTTATTGCCTTGGTGGTGTGCACTAAAGCGAGTTGCTTTAGTAACTCAAACAGCTGCGCATGGCTTGCCCTACAGAGTAGGGTTACGCTTGGCTGCCAATGAGAACACGGATTGCGCCCAAAGTTCGTGCATTACCAGAAAAGGGCCAAAATCGGCCGGACAAGGACAACATTAGCCACATCAGCAACACAAAACGGGCAGCAGACGCCGATCAAGACACGTGAAACTAGCAAGCAATTAAGCGGCGATTAAGAGTCGATCAATGCGCTTAGTAGATGCGGAGGGGCTTGCCCATGGTGCTCTTGATGTACAGCGACTTGACCTGCGAGGGGCGCGCAAGGGAAGAAGAGATGGAGAGAGACGGGGAGAGACGGAGAGGGGGAAAAAGAGTGAGACGGGGAGAAGACGAGCCAAAAAGAAGTAGACATTTAGAGCGTCTGAAGACGGAAAATGGGTAAAAAAGGACCGGATTTCAAGATGGCCGAAAAATACGTACGTTCTGCCAGTTCTTGAGCAGCGAGACGAGGAAATTGACGGAGAGCTGCACGTTCTGGAAGATCTCGACGAAACTAAACCTTGTAACGAACCTACGGTGCACAGAGCTACTATCGAGTACGTACGTTCTGCCAGTTCTTCTTGAGCAGCGAGACGAGGAAGTTAACGGAGAGCTGCACGTTCTGGAAGATCTGCTTCTCCTCCATGTCGCAGTTGCCCACCGCAATGCCCATGCACAGCACCTTCTTCAGCTGGAACTTGATCGTCGACTTGGCCTCCAGCAACTGCCAGGGGAGGGTAAGGGAAGGGAGTGAGGGGAACAAAAAGGAAGGGGAAAGGGAGCAGAGGGGGGAGGGGAAGAGGAGAAGCGATGACCGCACAGCCACGGCCATGCACGTCGTCGCCTTCTTGAGCTGTAACTTGATTTGTCGACAGCTGGAACTTTGCCTACGACAACTGCCGACAGCACAAGGGCCAGCAGCAAGAGAATAGCGAAATTCAAACACTAAAATCCAAGACCCGAACATGTGGAGAGCCGGCATTGTTGAGCCCAGCGTCAAACAGCCTAGGGATCTGTAGTGATCTTAACGAGTCGAGCTTCTTTACGAGTACAAACCCTAGCCTTATACCGCGTACAAAACCCTTACCTTGCTCTCGAGCGGCTCGTGGTGGGTGACGAGCGTGGGGAACTTGCCGGCCTTGTTGAGACCGGGGCCGAGCAGCCTGGGAATCTGCTTGATGATGGCCTCGGACGCCAGGAACGCGTGGTACTTCTTGGCGAGCTTCTTCACGAGCTTCTTGTTCTTGTTCATCTTCTTCAGCGCCTCCACACCCATGCAGTCCAGACTGATCTTCTCCGCCTGTTGAGGGGAAATTGCCGAAGGGAAAAAATAGGGGTGTTATTTCGCCAGCCTCTTCGCCAACTCCCTTCGCCAACACTCTTCGCGAGCTTCTTGACGAGCTTCTTGTTCTTGTTCATCTTCTTCAGCGCCTCCACGCCCATGCAATCCAGACTGATCTTCTCCGCCTGGTGAAAAGGAAAGGACCAAATGGAGAATTACGGGTCTTGCCGCAACAAGTAAGGGCCTAAACGCCGTCAAATTCGTCGCCAGCTTGCCCAAATGCACACATCGCAGCTGCGAACGACCCATTCCTTCAATGCGATGCGACAGCGGTTCGTGAGAGCCGAAATCTCACAGCCTGCACACGCAGCACTTGAGGGGCCTATTGAAGCAAAATTACGTCTCAATGTGACCTTCTAAAAGGCAAGGCAGACCCACCTCCTCGACGTGCCGGGTGCCTCCCAGCATGGACACGCGGTACTCGAAGCGACACCTTACTAAGCTACGTTGAATAACACACTCCGAAACCGGGAAAATGTACCTAGACACCTGCTGCGTATCTCCGAGCATGCACACCCGACGCTTGGATCGACTTCTTACGTAATCAAACTACGCACCTCCTCGACGTGCTGGGCATCTCCGAGCATGCACACGCGGTACTTGGGGCGCGGCACGTGCGGCAGCTTGACGGAGCCGCTGAAACGCTTGTCCTTCTGGGGGTCGTAGTTCTTTAGCCCGATTTGCAGCTCGATCGTCTCCGAGAACTTGCGGTTCTTCTCGCGCGACGCCGTCAGCAGGTTCGTGATCGCCTCGCGCAGCACGTCGCTCTGCAGCTTACTGCGGCGCGCAAGGTTGGGGACGAGGGTAATACGAAGGGAACAGTGTAAGAACAGTGAGTTGAGAGAAAAGCAAGTGGTTCGATATCGCCTCGCGCAGCATGTCGCTTTGCGGATTACTGTCGCGCGCAGGAGGGTGGCGGTAATGCAAACGGCACAGTGCAACAAAGAATGATATGCTGGTTGGCGGTACGGATGAGACTACATAAACTGTAAATTAGGGCGAACTCCGTGAAGCTAACTATTTGAGACAGCGACTCTGGAGACAACCGATGCAGACTTCTATTTGCCAGTGGGACTTTTCGTGTAGCTCACTGACCTCATGGTGGCCCGCTGCGCGATACAACGGAAAAGAAGGGAGAAAGGTGGTGCTAGGGAGCTAGCTTCTGGAGGGGAGAAAGGAAAATGGGGATAGGGGTGGTGAGGACTGAAATAGAAGGGGGTGTGGAAACAGGGGGTGTGACTGGCAGCAACGGACGGAGGAGAGGAGAGTCGACGGTTTTGGAAGGGGGTGAGGAAGAGAGGAAGAAGAAGTATGTGTAATGAAGTTCGATTAACAAGACATGTTATCTGTTCGTGCTCCGACAAGAGGTCTGCTATTAGCAAGGATACAAACCAGTCAATCAGGGATTCGTTGTTCAACACTGAAACTTCCTTCAAATGTGTGTGAAGTGGAATGGAGTTCAGTGACATGTTACCTAGAGATGGTTCGTTTGCTTGGTATCTTTTTAGAGGCTGACTACAAGCAACTGTTTTCTTCCGCAGCAGTGCAGAGGCTCGGAAATGTAACGTGGTTCCTTTTTTTCATGTGAATATGTCCATTATACACCGATGATACAAGTGCATATGAACATAAGTCAGTCGTAACTGGGCGTGAGAGACCGCTACGTGACAACGGCCTCAGGGTCAGCTTCTAAGGTGGATGCAGAGCCCCCCTCGCAAGATCCCAAAGCGCGCCAAAAATCCGAGTCCATTTCCAGTTTTTTGCCGCCGAACACACAATACGGCCAAGAATGGCAGCCTCCTGCTCTGCCAACACATACGCCTTTTTTTGTCGCTTCGAACCTCCGCTCTTGTCCAACTTCCTCCCCATTGCCCGAGTGCACATTTTCACATGCAGCCGGAAGGCAGCCTCAATGCGCCTAAGAACGCGCCGAGCCCTGAACCTCCTCCCCCGAAACACACATTCGCATCTCTCCGCCCATATCTGGTGCACCGCAATGGCGGAAAGGGATGCCTCCAGGAAAGCTGAAGTGGATGCTGCTTCCCCGAACAGCAAGTCCCCCAGATCGGCCACTTGCCTCGACGGGTTCAGCATGCGTATAGCACGCCTGACTGCCACCACCACCAGTTGTATGCGCGGGCAGGTGAAAAGACAGTGCTCCAGCGTTTCCAGTTCCCCACAGTGCGGGCAGACCGGCTTGCCACTTAAGAAAGAGAGTCTTTCCCCCACCTGCCGGTTGAGACTGTGAATCCTCAGCAGCACGTCCCGCGGCCTGTGAGGCGTCACAAGGGAGTCGCGGATTTTGATCACCCTCTTCCAATCAATTTCCCCTGCCCATCTGCTTGCCCAGAGGTCCCTCTTGGCTGATTGATGCTTCTTCCGGTCCCAGCTTCCTTTCAGCTCCCTCAACGACGCCAACTGCCCGCTACTGAACAGCTGAGTTCTTTGGATAGGGGGACGAGGCGGTGGCCGAGGCAGCTGCAGGAGCTCGGCAGACAGAAGCAGCTCCTTCCAGCTCTACTGCACTACCTCCCAGGCCCGAAGAGCCAGTTTTGCCTGTTTCGAGCCCCCCAGCTCCCTCGCCAGGGTTTTCACATCTTTGACCCTACGACCGCCCGCGCCATGCGAAGCCAGTAGATCCTTCAACCGGACCTTCCACAGCTTCGATGCTGCCTTCTGACCGCCCACCGGGGTCTTGCCGTTTAGCAGAATATGCCGATTTAAAACTATCCACTCCAACTCAGCTTCTTCCCTCGTCCGCTCTGGTGGCGTTTCTGCTAGCGGCGACTGCATGAAATCCCCGCAGGCCAACCTCCACCTCTCGCTCTTCCCGCGCCAGCATTTCAAGAGCTTCACATGCGCTACGAAAGTGTCCGTCCCCAGCGGTAGGTCCACCGCTTGAAGCATTATGTCTCGCTTCAGCACGTTGGTCTCGGTAAGAAGCAGACCAATTCGCCTAGCCATGAGGCAGGTGAGCGCAATCTCCAGGTCACACACACCCACACCCCCGTCCTCTCTCGCCATGTACAGCAGCTCACGGCTCCACAGAATGAAACCCTTGTCCGTGGTAGCCCGGTTACCAGACATGAAATTATGCGTTAGCTTCAGGATACTCCCCCATATGTCCACCGGCGACGGGTACACCTGCGCCTGGAAAATGATTATCGGGGAAATATAGAGTTGATCACCGCCGCCCTTGCCCCTATCGTGAGATGTTGTGCCTCCCACTGTCTCGGTTTTTCCTTCACCTGCGCAACAACTTTTTTCCAGGTGGGAGCGCAACACCCGGCCGGCGTCACCCACACCCCCAGAAGCCGCTTGGCTTCATTCAACTTCACCCATTTGAAGCCGTCAGTTCTGTCGGACTGCTTATCCAAATTCCTCCCCAGAGGTAAGATCGACAACTTCCTTTTGTTCGTAGCCAGGCCTGACTCCGCTTCAAAGTCCTCTAACAACTTTTCAGCCTCTGCGATCTGCGCCTCCCCTTGCAGGAACAGAGTTGTGTCATCCGCGTAGCCCATGTACGCCAGACGCTGGTCGCCCCCCGTGAGACCCAGCTTTTGGTTCGCAGCCTCTTGCGCCAACGGCTCGACAGCACAAAGGAAAAGGTACCGCGCCAGCGGGCAATCCTGGCGCACTCCCGACACCACTTCCACCGCCTCGCCCATCCATCCGTTGATTAACAGGCTTGTACGTGTGTCCTTGTGCAGGTCGCGCACCCAGCCTATGAACCGGCTAGGGAAACCCATTCTTTCCAGCACCGTGAACAAGGAGTCTTTCGAGACCGAGTCGAAAGCCTTCCTAAAGTCCACCAGCAGAAGATACCAGTCTTCATCCTTGTTCTTAGCCACCTCAATAACATCCGCGACAAGGCCCACCGCATCCGACAGCCTTCGACTTGGTAAGAAGCCATACTGCTCCGAAGAGATCACTTCATGTAGCACACTCTTAATTGTGTCTGCAACCACCCGCGCCAGCACCTTGTAGGTGAAACTTAGTGGCGTGATCGGCCGGTATTACTCTAACTGATCCCGCCCCCCCTTCTTATGCAGTATGATGGTGATGGCGTCCTTTGTGCTGGTCGGGAGCGATGCCGACGCGGTGAAACCCTCCACCAGCTTCATAAAATGTTTGCCCAAAACATCCCAGTGCGCCTCGAAAAGCTCCTGCGACAGCCCGTCCTTCCCGGGGGCCTTGTCCTTTGCCATCGAACGGAAAGCACGCTTCACCTCTTTCTCCGTCCAGTCTGCAGACATGTCGATCACCGACCCTTGTGACAGCTTCCTCCCGTCAGCCGGAAACCAAGCAGTCTCCGTCTGCCGCCTGTCCATCCCGAACAGATTCATGTAGTATTGCGACGCCGCGCCTAAAATACCCTTGTTGTCAGCAACCTGCTGCCCTCCAACGTCTAACGCCGAGATCTGTGTACGCTCCTTCCATGCTTTAATCTCTGCAGACAGAAATGGAGACGCGACCTCCCCCGAGACCTCCTCTTTCATTCCTGCCATCACGTGCAGACGCTCCTGCCGCACCAGCTGGTAACTTTTGAGCTGCGACTCCCTTTCGTCCAGCAACCCCTTCAGGCGAGCACAGCTCGGGTCACCCATCCACGCCTACTTCAGAGCCGCAATTTCACGCTGAAGGTGAGCCATGGTAGCCCTGACCCTCTTCCGCTCCTCCATCGCATACGCTTTCAGGCGAGTATTAAGCCTCGAAATCAGCAACTCAAAGTCGTCACCGCACGAAGCCACCTGCTGTTCCACTGCCTCGATCACTCTCCTAACACCCGGTCTATCAACCATGTATGCAGGAAGCCGCCAGAGACCCGAGCCCAACTGCACCCGCGTGATCATTCTGAATGCTGCCTTGACTGTGAAACTGTGACCGGAGATGGGATCAGCCGGCATGATGTGCGAGGCGTACTCAAGATGCGGCAACAGCGACTGCGAGATAAGTGCCCGGTCGATGCGGGAACTTGACTGGTTGGCACAAGAGTAGAAGGTAAACTCTCTCTTGTAGGGGTGCAGAATCCTGAAGGTGTCCGAAGGACGGAAGGCGCCACACTGTTGGTAAAGCTCTTCATTTTCTTTAACCGAACCCTTCTTTGACGTTCTGTCAAGCAGGGGGTCCTCCACCAGGTTGAAATCCCCCAACACAAGCAGTTGAGCGGTAGGCTGCACCGAGTCAATCACCGGGCCTAGCACTCTTCGCTCGACAGCATCCGATGGGAAGTAAACTGCAACTAAGGTAATACAGAAAGTGTCGTAGCGGACATCAACAGCTATCAGCCGACCGGATGGGTGAATGAGAGTGTTATGCAGTGACAACCTATGCCTCTGGCAGACCAAAGCAACCCCACCGGCTTTAGCAGTAGGTGAGGCCACCAGGATCTGTGGCTGTCTTAAGGTGTCCCAGTATGGGTGGTCATTGGTGAGTCTAGCGTCCGAGAGCACAATAACATCAGCAGCTTGTTTAATCCAGTACCTTGTGCGCTGTTGCTTATTTCCATCCCCCAGGCCGTTGACATTCAGGCCTGCAAACGACAACAAGCTTTTTGTACTCATTTAATCACTGCTGTTAAGCCTTTTCGCATCCACAGGCTGGTGATACAGACTACTGCTACTCCAACTGCTACCGCTTCACAGCTCCTTCCCAGACAGATGGGCCTCAGGCTCATATCCAGACTCAGATCCCGAAATCCTTGCGAATGACATGCAGATTCAGCTTCTCCAGTGAGCGACGAGTGGCTGCTCCCAACTTCTCCAGGCCCAGCAGGTGGCTCGACGAGGTGCCATGATCTGCAGCAGCCATGAAGGACTTGCCGTGTGCCTTTCCGCAGGTGCTCGGAGTGCAGAAACCCTCCTCCCGATTGCTCCCAGTGGAGATCATAACAAAAGCCGCATCCAGAAGGAGCGGGGTGACAAGCGGGGAAGCGCAGAGAGAAGCAGCTGCGAGAGACAAGCATGGTGTCAGCAACCGTTATGGGTGAGCTAACTGAGCAACAACAACTGCAAAAAGGTGAGATGCAGTTACCATTAATCCTATGCACCCAACCCACAGTCAAACTCCACTTCCCTATGTTATTCTGACGCTCCGTGAC